TGCAGGGTGCTATGCAGGGCTGAATTGATGCGCTTCTGAGCCTTGCAAATCTCCTCATCCTGCACCTCGCCTTTCTTCTCCAGCACGAAGGACAGCTTTTGCCAATCCCATCCTGGCTCTGAGGCCTTCGAGTGGGCTCGGAGTTCTGGGTCCAAAGTCCTCGGTTGGGCAGGCGGACGGAGTTTGATGTCCGGTTTGGTGGCGGACGGGACGTGACGTCGCCTTTTAAAAAATACGAGATACAGGGTCACAGTTGAAAACAGTGTATAATTTGAGCTTGGGATTCTAGGTCAATCTATGTCGCCTTTTAATTTTTTCCATGTACAAAACCCAAGTTTTGGAGATCACCAGAGATAATCTCCATGTTATTTTTAAGTCCCATCTATGACGCCTATATTTTTTTATAATTGCTTTGTACATGGAAAAAATTAAAACGATGTACAAATCTAAGTTGTTACCCAACATGATTTTATACACTGTTTTGGCTTCAGTGATGGACGGGAAGTCATACCCGGTTTGCTTGTATGTGAGGGCGGACGGAGACTTGTACCCGATGCCATATCATCTTGACGGCGGACGGAGACTTGTACACGGTTTTGGTGACAAAAAATATAATAATAATCAGTACCGGTAAATTATTATGAAATATTATTTTTTGGAAATAATTTTGTATGGTTTTTGTCACCAGAACTGTGTACATGAATTAATTAATTGTCAATCCCCTTTTCCATGATGATAGTGTAGGAATAACTTATTCTGCAGACCTCTTTCCAAACCAAGTCAGCTGAGTCTAATTTAATGAAAAGGTTCCCTGAGCCAAACATTTCATCAAGCTGGTGATAGGCAGCGTCGCCCACATGCAACCTGATGGGCTCTTGAATGGCCACCCACACGCAGCAAATCTCCATAAGGTCACGCATCGATTGCACATCTCGCTGAGCCAGTTTCTCAGGGCATGTTGGCGTGAATGGCAAGTTGGACCCCTTTACCCAATGGCTTTCTAGACTCATAAACGATCATACTCACTGTCTGTAGGCCTGTCCTAACATCAAGTGTTGGATTTTTTTGGGGAATCTGACCGCTGTATCGTGTTTTGTTCCCACATATTCCCACGGGTCCTTCTGCTTCACGGGGGACTTCGCTGGAGCTTTCTTCATGAAGTCACTCAGTACTCGACGTGCCCACATCATGGTAGCAGCTGCGCTGACAGTCTGCCAAGTTTTGCATGGATTGGATTTGTTTTCGAAGTTGGAAAAGGAATCTAGAATCACATCAAGACAGCTGACAGCAAGGCCTTCACCTGGCGTCACCAATCATCCAAGACAGCCGGGGAGCAAAGTTGGGTTCCAGGCACATAGTAGTCTTCTGCCAGGCTCTCCATTGTCCAAGCTGACAGTAGGGCCAGGGTCATTCCATGCATGTGTTTTTCAAATTCACAGCTAGCTGATACCTTCCAGGTTATGTTTGGTTGACATTGAAAATTCATATCCCCACCTCCATGTTCCCACTTGTAAAGATCTGCAGCTTCTTTCAAAAGATCTAAGAGTTGAGGAGGACATCTTAGAACTCCATAAATCACCTTCTTCAGATCGTCCTTGACTCGAAAAGCCTGGTCAAATATTGTCAGGTTCAATATCAAAACATCATATGTACTGGGGACAGTGACTGGTACAGACTAAAAAGTTAAGGCCGAACAGAGGAAATTGTGTCTCCAACCTTGTTCGGGGTCCCCTTGTTGTAGTCGGCAATGGCATTCGACAGAAGATCTCGGACTGCAGCCCGCTGCTTGCTCAGGCGCTTGCAACGAATGGCTTCCTCTCAAGGAGTGAACCCAGGGGGAAGGATTTATATGAGGTCTCAAACATGATGAGGTGGATAACATAACGCGATATGGCTAATATGTCTCAAAATGAGGTGGCCTTTTTTGGTTCCACATCATATACAGGCTGTTTATGATGCTATAAATGAGGTGGCCTAATACTATCTCTTTGGAAACAAACAGGGCCACCTCATTTTGAGAGCCCCAAATACTTACTCAGTGGCTGTCCTTTCGGCAAAGGTTCATCTTCTTGGTTGGGTTCGAAAAAACAATTCAAAGTTTAGACACTTTTTGGGTTTTATTGTTAAAACTCTGCAGGGTTCAGGTGTTTACTGATCGCAAGGAATTCATTCATAGAGTTCTAATGAAGAATGATTGACAACATCTGGGTCATGTGGCAACATCCACCAAAATGCCTTGAAGAGGAGAGTGAGCTCGAGGGGTCCAGGTTTCTGTTTCTCAGCTGTTCGGTTTGCCAGGCCTTAGCTGAATATTATTTGAATAAGATGACGTTATTCCCTGCTTGATGTTTATATGAACTGATTGTGATCGTTCAATTCTTCTGCCAAAGGATGGAACTAAGGCATGAACTCAATGCCTCATACAAAGCTTTCTCAGCAGACATGTGGTTGTAGTTCACCCTGATGTACTTTAAGCTGGCAAGGAGGTCAAGCATCTCAGGGTCAGAAACGAGGTCCTCAAACCGCACCTCCTTAGGCGTCCATTGTTTGTCAAACAGCTTGTGATTTTGCAGGAACCTAAAACGCACCAGCAGCTGCAAAGCACAAAGATTACAAGTCAACCCAACTTTCAGCAGGATTCCAAGTGGGCAAGGAGGGCAAAAACTGACAAAATCATCACAGCCTTGGCGTGACCGTCGATATATTGGATGGAGAACACAGGAATGTCCTTGCCAGAGCCAAAGAGATCCTCTCCAAACTTGATTTCCAACGGCTCCCTCTCCGTCTCGTAGCCACGTTGGACTACAGATGGAAAGTGACAACGGATTGCCACGTTACTGGGCCACTTCCCCCCTTGGCCATATTTCGCATCCTCACCCATTGACAATTGCCACGGGTGGATGTAGACACCTTTTCGGGCCGTGACTGGCACCGACTGCAGCACTAGGGGAGGGGAACCATTGAAGTTCTTTGCAACATGGTCTGCCACCTCCGGCAAACTGTAGATGTCCAACATGACCTTCCACAGGATGCAGGCATCAAGTTTGAACAGTGATCAAAGACGGATGTAATTCTACTACGTTGGAACCTTTAAATATCTTTAAATTTTAAACATTGGCTTGGAATGTGCTTGGCATGTTCCAGCCTTGGCAAATTGGCGTCTTGAGTCCTCATCTTTGTTGAACTTGTCGTGGATGAATCTCCCCATATTCCATTCACCGGTCACCTGGCAATACTGATAGGTAGACAGAGAATGTTTAAGGATACTACATTAAATTAATTACTTTCTGGTTTTTTTTGGTTGAGCTTTCAGCTAGTCCAACCAGACCCAGCCTCCTCCATGGCCAGGATCAGCCGGGCCTTCAGTGGTGGCAGCGTAGGGCCCTCATCACCACTGGCATCGCTGTCGTTGCCATCAAATTCCACCTGGCAAGTTTGAATTTCAAAGTGAAAATTCACTTATTGCTTTTAATGATTTGGAACAGGAGTTCAGAAATCAGCATCACAGTTGATATCCAAATTCCAAGATCCAGCCTTCACGGTGGGATCAGCCATTTTGAGGCTCTGCAACCACAGCGCTGTGAGATTGAAATGGGCTGTTTCAGAAATGCACAGCCAGTCTATGATACCAGAATGATTTTATTGAACGGTGGACAGCTCTACAGATTTAGTATCAGCTACTCTTTTCTCCAACTCATTTAGTAATACCTGTGAAACTTCACCTGAAGCCTGCGCACATTGTGTGGCTCAGGATCTTGGAGCAAAGGATTTCCGCGCTGGATACCAGGCACGGGTCCGGACAGAATCCAAGTCAACTTAGTTGGCCAATTGCGTTTGACAGCGACTTTACCTGCCAGCTGAAGCAAGTAGTGGGCCCCTCGTGCATACTGTGGCAAGTTGTCCGTCAGGTAGGCTGCCAACTCAACCAATATCTCAGCCCTTTCCGCAGTGCAAGAAATTTCAGTACCTCAGTATCTCAGTACCAACAGAGATATCAAGAACCCACACACCCCAAACAGAACCCCAAACACTTCAAACATCCCCAGACACAGCACACCAACCGTTCCCAAACAAGGTGCAGGGAGCATCAGACTTGGCCAGACGGCACAGTGCAACCCGGAAAGTGTCAACTCTGCACCCAGGCAAGCAAAGCAAGGCAGGTTGACAAAGTGAGCTATCACTTACAAACCCCTTCACAAGGACAAACACGTCGTGAGGATTGCCCTTTTCGAACCAAGAAGGCAACCTCTCCTCTGCACCTTCAAGTAGCGACGTTGGCATACCTTAGGAACAGCTTAAATAGAGATCCAAAGTGAATGATGAGAGGAGAGAGAGAGAGAGTGAGTATATGGAGAGATAGAGAGACAAAAATGCAGTCAGCCTACGGTTGTTATTTTACCACATTTTACCTTGCTAGGCTCACAACTTTCAAATGACAAGGTGCTTTGACGGCACATGAAAGTGAAAGAGTGGGGCACAACATCTAGGTCCTTGATGGTTCGGCGTCGGTACGCACCATGCAAAGTTGAAATTCTGGGTAAGCTCCCAAACCAATCCCGCACATTGGTCACGTATTCAACTTGGAACAGCAAGCCCTTCTTGGTGAACAACGGCCCAACCTTTGACCGAAGAAGCCTTAGGCAACACTTCTGCCAAGACTGACTTGATATTATGGGTTGGCACTCTTCCTGATCTATCAGCGCAGCAACATTCAATGATTTGTGTTCCTGATTCTGCCTGATTGGGGATCCGGCTGTGCAACATCTTCAGGGCTCTGCCTAAGGCGGTGCCATACTTTAGAGGAACGGGTTGCAAGTATAGGGGAAAGTAAGGCCCAAACATATTTTCATCTCCTTCGCGGATAAATCGAGATAATAGTCCGAAGTAGGCGTCTCAGTACACGCAAACAAGTTTGTCCAATGGTGTTGGCCACGTCTAAACCATAACAAATCAAACAATATTCTCAAGTCTTGGAGGTTTATTGTCATGTCGTTTTCAAGACCTTGCAGTAAACATGACCAAGAAACCCACGTCTTCATGCGTGTGGCCAACCGGCATGTGTTCATGAGACACTGACCGGTAGTAGCCACTGCAGACTACTGCCGAACACCAGCTTACTTCCTTAGTCCAGGGGAATCAGGAACAGGTATGAAATATGGCCAGAATCGTCTAACAACTCCAGACAGTAAACAACATAAAGGCACAAAAAAAATAGTGACCATGCCAAGCAAAGGTTCTTTGGGTGTATTGTCTGAGAATATCTTCAAAACCCCAGGTTGTGGCTTCGATTGTTTCTGAAAAAAATCCAGGTATGTTGTAGAGATCTGGTCAAAGTTTCCAAGACCCAATTGGTGCCAGCGGTTTGGTTTTCATCCCCCAAGTGTGTGAAAACTCCCACACCATGCACCAACGTTATTGTCACCTCCAGCGATGGTCTGTCAACTGTTGCCACATCCTTTGGCGCTTGGCCCCTCTGATAGCGGGGTAAAGAGAATTTCGATTTGTCCATTGAATCTGTGATACAGCAAATGATATCACCGGTTGTTTTTGCCCTGTTTCTGAGCTCGTGGTAAACAGCACGATCAGCATATTGCCCAGCAAGATGTCTAAGCAGCTTGTCAGAAGCATCCGTTTGCTCTGCAATGCCTTTTGCATGCCGTATTTTTGATTTCAAAGCAAAGCAAATTGTACACTTGGAATGTGCGCTTGGTGGTGAAAACTTGATTTTTTTCTTCCAGCCAGATTCACAAAGTACTCGGTAGAATGTGGTTGACGAAGCAACTTTTTCATTTGATGCTGCTTGATGGGCGCAGTACAAGGTGTATAGGTCATGATAACTTCCATGTGGAAGCCATCTTCTAGGAAGGTCCTCACACCCTCTCCGGACACCGCACCTCGCCAGGTCACTTTCCAGCGCACTTTCCACCAAGGCCTTCAGGAGTCTCTCCCTTGCGTCTGCTGTAGAAAGATCACTGGTCCCTTTCACGTCAAGCCTCAAGGAGGCATGGGATCTAATCTTATTGGAGGGAATTAGAATTAGAAATTGAATTTCTGCCTAAACTTCCCAACCCTGCTTCCAATATTATGTTTAGACGAGGAACTCATGGGGCAGGGTCTCTCCAATTGTCCAGTACGTATTTTCAAGGAAAGCAGTTACAGATGCAGCAGCTTCGCAAGACTTTTGGCCTTTGCAACATCACATACTGGAAAGAGAATGGATAGGCATAATAACACATTAAATTAATCATAGTAAATTAACACAATAACTATTCCTACCCACCTGATGGGTAGGAATAATAGTGAGGATGAGCAAATACAAAGAGTACAAGTTCAACGAAGGGCATCCAATAGCTAATTACTGTGGATCAGAAGAAAAGATCATAGGATGGCAGATGAGGAACCCAAGCACCGGAAGTCAAGGCCTTTGAACGCTTTCCTGGTCCTCACCAGCCGCGAGGCACTGATACCCAAGAGTCTCAGAAAACTTTGGCGGCACACAGGAATTCCTGGCAGTGCGGAACTCAGCCTTTGGTGTTGTTGAAATAAAGAGACTTGAACATGAACTGTCTGAATATGACTTCAATCGGTACGATTCATTCCCGGCCTTCTATGGACCATGCAACTTTATGACGTGGTTGGCAACTGCTGTCTGAACCAGACTCCGACTCATCATCTTGCTCGTCACATGGGAGACAGTTTTGCTGCATAGACCATAAAAGGCAATCTTGGCTAACTTTAGGAAGTACCCAGAAAAAAGTGACCATCTTCAGAACCAGTCTCCAATGTAAGTTTCTCTTGCATTTTTTTTTGCAACATGTCTCTTGCAGCACTTGTTGGATTCGCTCCGGTTGGACTGCCTGTTTTGCGTAAACAGACTGATCAACATCTGTTTTCCCTTCATTCATAGCCACCAGCTGGTTGAGCATGAGACCTGCTGCAGGCTTGGCGCCAGCCGGTTCACTTTGTTCATCTCTGCTGGAAGATGATGAGGAGCTCTCTGGCCTCACACACCTTCTCTTGTTCACAGGTGTAGGCGAAGCTGAACTATCTGAACTACTGTCAGCATCTGATGACTCGGACACTGCAAAGCGTTGAAGCATGGGCATGGCAATTGTCGAGGATCGGAAAAATTGGCTTATATAATATAACTACTAGTAGTCAGTATCTAAGAGCATTGCTGAGGAAAAGGCTGTGATGTGCCTCAGTGGTCCTTAGAGCCTGAGGTTCCTGAAGTCGGATGACTTTGACTCTTAGTGAATTTCTTTGTGGTGTTGAAGCTTTATGAAAGATTCAAACAACTTTCAGCACATGTGATGGTGTCGACACATCTCCTGGCTTGAGAAGCTTGATAAACTGTATGAAAACTGCCAAACACTCATTCGGGACCCGCATGCTCCTTGACATTGCGTTGACATGTCACTGGTAAGTAGGCACTAAAACTCAAGTCTCAGCAAATTCGACCCATGCAAACTCGATTTTTGCACCGCATAATTCACATATGGTGGTCCCAAACAGATTTATGCCATTGATTTCTTCATGGCTTCTCGATAGAAATTTTCGATGCTCACTCCACTAAAAGCTAACGTCCACGCTGCTGCGCAGGATCGCACACTCATGGCCTGGGAAGGTGCAAATTGGATGGGCAAAGATGGGTGGAGAAAGGTTGCAGAATGCATTTAGTGCCACTGTCAAAACAACATGTAAGGTTAGGGCATTTCCTGCCAGTGAATGCAGCTCCTGGAATCAAAGGCGGGTGGATTCTAAATCCGAATTAAGCTCACTGGACATTGACTGCTGTATTGTTGTGACGTCCTCTTCGGTCAGGTGGTCCAGAGAGAGTCGATGGATTGGGAAGCCCATGAACATAAATTTCTCCATGCCTAGCCAGGTATCAAATGAAATATTTGTTCTATTTGGGCATGTGGTGTTGATCCTGCCTGACAATGGCCGTTTGCTTGGAGGATGCCATAACATCGCCTTTGGGGTTATACATTGAACCCTCTCCCTGTCACCATGGGTCATCCTGTCGATGTTCTGCGAGACATTCAAAGTGCCGCAGTGCATGGCAGTGGTATAGATGTCCAAAGCCTCACATAATCTAAAAGGATTCTGGCCCCAGTTTTGGATTCCTTCAATTCTTTGAGAATATTGTAAGATGCTGTAAATCAATCAAGCAACATGAAGTGGGCGCTGACAAGTGAAATAATTGGGAGCTTCTTTGCAGACTTGAAGCTCCTTTGGGTTCACCTCAATCATGAAGTTTCGAAATATTGAAGAAAACTTGGGAATCAGTTGCAGAAAACAGCAGAATAATTTATAGATTTCTGTCATGTCCAGGAGCCTTGAGGCGTTTCATGGCTGCCCAATGTTTTTTCAGCCAGCGAGGGTTCGATAGTGTGGGCCTCAACAAACAATCCACATTGTCTCTAATAAAATTGAAACTGGTTCATACGTCCTCGTGGACACTTTGTAACACATTGACCAGTGCAACAAAGAATCCGTTTTGTAAGATCATACTCGTCCCGTGTCCTTTTCCTGGAAGTTTCAGCCTTGAATCTTGCAGTGATGGCCTGGAGGTAAGGGCAGTCGCCTGGCAGCATCAGCCCAGACCTAAGCATCGAACTGGACTGAACTGACCAGTGAAAAAAATCTGAATGCCATCCATTGAATAGATAGAATCTCACCGATGAACATATTGTTTTGAATCTTGGAAAGTGAACATTGACATGACATCAAAAATTGGAGTCAAAGTTGAAGTCGAGTTGCACAGAGATTCCAAGCGCAACATTGATAGTAAGATTCTCGTACACCTTCTCACAGTGCAGTTCCAGTGCCTTGTGGTCCTTGAGCTTCTTGAGTGCAACATCCCTGGCACACTCTGGAAGGTTACTCTAATGTTGGTTCTCAAATTCTAATGTGAACCGAATCTTTTCTAGTTGTAGTCGCTTTGAGAATAAAACAGGCCTTCGAACCATGATGATATATATTCGTCTCCGTGATGCTGGATCCCCGAGATGGGAGCTGTTGATCTTTGCAAAGGCGATCAAGTACTTCTTGCGCAGATTTGCCATTGCATCCCACAACTGAGTGCCAGGGCCATGGAATCAAATTGAAACTGAATCAGATTGAAACTGATTTGAATCCTAAGATGAGAAGATTTGAACCTGGAGTTACAAGACAATGTTTCGATATGTTTCGGCCTTCTCCTTGACAGATAACACGCCGTAGACATTTTCGAGCACTGCAATCAACGGTTCTGTCCTCATGGACAAAGAAACTGCCGGCTTTTAGTTGAACCAACAAGGGTTGAATCAGTTGAGCCCATCAGTGTTTAAAGAAATGCAAGGAAATTGTTAAGTTATCTCAGCTTTGATGGCAAATCTGTCTCCTGTCCACTGCTTCCATGGTGTGCCCGATCGGTTTTGCAGCACGTTCTTGCATGAGCTGACTGTTCCTCCGTAAGCGACTGAACCTTAAATCATTGTCTTTTTAGACACAACGCAAACAAATTATTGTCGCTGGGCACAAACACACACATAGTATTTTTGTTCAATAATGGTTGCTACTGAGCAACGGGGTACAGGGGAACCCACATGAGTACAGGATTGGTGCCAGGCCAGTGTAGTCCCGGTCAGCCATATCTGTGAACAACCTGAGCGAAGGTTTTTTGAGAAATTGTCACGTTGTTACATGCGAATTTTGTGCAACTATAAGATGTCAATGTAGAGCTTTGTGCGACTATTAATACAAGAAACTTCTGGGGTGGAGCATTTCGAAGGATAAACTTGAGGGGGGCCACGGCCCGGTCAGTTGCAGCAATGACCTTGACCTTTGCCAGGGTAGGTTGTAGTTAAGAGTTGTGGCCCTTAACAGTTGTAGTTAAGAGTTGTGGCTTTTAATGATTTATAATATGAATTTAAAATAGGGCGTTATAACTGTTAAGGACCACAACTTCCTAAGAATTTCCCAATGTGCTGAGCCTTCGAGATTCCAGCCAGCTCCTGCAATGCCCACAGTGATCCGTCAGCTCCACAGCCTGAGCATGCCAAGGTGTCACTTTGACAGGGGATAAAGAATTCTAGCTGGCCCACTTAGTGAACATTGACATGTTTGACATGATTGTTAGTCAGTAATTAATTGTATGGAAGCAAACTGCAATGATGCCTAGAAACAGTCGCTCATGAGCGAAAAAGGGCCAGGCAACATCTCCAGAACTTTTGCAACTCCTGAGACTGCAAATTGCGGACCAAATTCTGATAGCACTTGAAAATAAAAAGTACATGATGTAAAATGATGTAAAATGTGCATGATGAGTCTTCACAATGACAAGAGAAACGCTAATATGCAAGGTATGTTTAAACAATAACAACAATGATTGAAGAAGTATTATTTGCAGAGTTTCCAAGACCAGCTCGCTGTCGCATGTCCAAACCCCATCCCTCAAGGTGTTGCCGGTGGCGGCGTAGAAGCTTAGGAACTGGAAGGGCCTTATCAGACCTTGACGTGAGGAAAAGTGTGGCAGGTGGTGAGGGGTGCCAGGTTTACAGTAAAACACTAAATGCTTCTGAGATACAACTGCCCCTTGGCGATGTAGAAATTTTCTAGACCTTCTTCAGAAGATGAACTGCTATAACCAGACCCCGAAGACGAACTGCTCCCACCATATTCATAGGAGCCCTCATACGAACTTCCATGGCTGGAGTCAGAATAATACCCGGATGAGGACATGGTCTGAGCATCCAGGGAGCTACAGATAGGGCCGGGCTGCAATAATTGAGTTCCACTTAGTAATGGGAGGAGTTTCACTTCTCATGGGTTGCCCTTATATGTATATATATATAATATATATATAGATATTACACATAAAAAAATCACATATGATATCCATATTATATCTCTATATTATACCTCGATTATACATACGATACCAAACAATCATATCCCCAATGCCTCCCGAGCCAGCAGTTCGGACTTGGCAATGTAGAGCCGCTGATGCAGTGAACGGAACTTGGCATAGGTGATGGGATCCAACTTCTGAACCTCAAGAGGTTGATTTTTTGATCAACTGGGGGATGTAACATGATGGAATTAATCACCACTAATATATACTAATATCTACTAATCAAAGATGGGGGTTCAAGCAATAAAGATGGGGATGTAAGCATCAAACATGTTTTCTAAAGGAATTTCTGGGGTTTAATATTTTTTTGCATGGGATACACCTCGGCTTTTTTTGACAAAAGCTGGGCGTGTCATGAAACATTGCCATCCATGGGAAAATGATGATCAGCAATGCAACTTTGGGCTATCCGATTTTCAGACAAAGCCATCAGCTGGGTGTGTCTGAAAATTGGGTCTACCCCAACTAGTCCTTTAAAATGGGACAATGACCATAAACCGATTTTGAGGTGCCTTATTTTCAGTCAAAGCCAATATGGCTGAAATGTGGTACATATATATATATATAGATAATATATATATAATATATATATATAATATAGATAATATATATAGATATACATAGATAATATAGATAATATATATAGATAATATAGATAATATATATATATACATATACTAATACATAACATATATAACATATATATATACACATACATAATATATATATATCATGGAATTATCATGGTATACCTGGGATGATGATACCCACTGAAGAGTTGATTTTTTTACCCACGCCTGCTGGTTTCAACATGTTTGACCCCCCGGAAAATATGCGAAAATCACTGGAGAAAATGCAAAGCCGCGATATTTGAGAAGCTCACCAAAAAAATGGCTGGGTATTACCTATAAAGTTGGAGTAGACAGTGGAGACATGTAAATTGGGGACTTAAACCACCATGTTTTTTCAGGTTTACATCATACACAAATCGTGTGTGTTACTTAGACTGAGACTTGGAGAAATGTAGCTTGGGATTTGCATTGGTAGATCATCAGGACCTCATGAGGACAAAACCCAGCAGCAAACAATGCATGAAATAGGGGGGAGTGTAACTTGGAAATATCAACCAACACCTATAAAATGAGAGGTGACATGTAAAGTGGGGGCAGGGATGATAGTTGGGGATACACAATAAAAAACAGCAATACACCAACATGGGGATCAACACCCACAACGAAAAAATCGGGCGTTCAACTTTTCTGAGGAATGGAAGAAACGAGATGGGGTCTTCCTGAAATGGGGGGGTACCCCAATGGCTGGATGGTTTAATGGAAAATCCTACTAAAATGATCTAAAATGGATGATGACTGGGGGTACCCCCATTTCAGGAAACCTCCAGATCATAGAATCAAAAATACGGTTGGCAGATGATGGATGTTGCGATATGAAGTGCAACGGGGTCTTCTGCCGAGCTGCAATGGGGTCCAAGATGGCTGGTGGCAAATCGAAGTTGATGGTTGCCTTCATATAGGCTTCCACCTGCAACCGGGGTTTGGAACTTCCATTTGTTTCCCATCAAGGCTCCAGATCCACGTCTCAAAACCCGTTTTGGGGGGCGAAGTCTGGGCCATTTCTGCAGCCATAGCAGCCACCTCCTTCTTGCTCAGTTTGCCATCTTTGTCCAGGTCAAACTGGGCAAAGACCGACTTCCTGGGCACTTCAGTCCGGCTGAGAATTTGAGCATCTGAAAAGGGGGGTGCAAGGGCAATTTGACCCCTTTAGAAGAATTCTATCAATGGGGATTAGGATGAAGGGCGATGCAAGGCGCCCAATCTTAGATGACCTGCAAAGAATATCATGTTCGATGTTTCTAGCTGAGTAGGATTAGTACCAGATTCATGGCCTTATGGCCAAAACGTAAGCCATCAGCCTACTCAAGGAAGGCTTACCCAAGAAATGACGCGCAAGTGTTTTGTCGCAAAGAATTCAAAGGTGCTTCCCTAGTCAGTTGATCCCCCTCACAATAGAGGTCTCAAAGCCCCTTTCCTTCGGCTCGGCAAATGAATCCCAGAAATAAACTGTTTTTGGGATAATCCCCAACTATTCACCCAGATTCTTGATCCCATCAACCCCAGATTTTTCAGACATTTACATCGTGACAATGAACCCAACTAGGGCCATACCAGGTAGATCAGGTAGGTTCCATGATGTTCCATGTTAAATGGATGTAAGCCCCTGATGGCCGCCAAGCGTCTTTTCATTCATCTTCTCCACCGCAGCTGCCTTTCGGGCCACCTCAACCAGGATGCGCCACGGTTTTCGCAGCTTCAAAGCCCAACTTCCCAGCAATCCCGGACGCATTTTTTTTTGATGAGCATTTGATCCACAATAATTACCATCTGGTTATGACTAACATAGCCATGGAAAATCACCATTTTGAATAGGTAAACCATCTATAAATAGGCCATTTTCCCTATGTTAAATAACCAGAGGGTAATTGATTGTCAACTATTTTGGCTTGTCTTGAAATATGGTACCCCAAAATCCATTAGTTTCTGATCATTTTCCTCGTGAAAAAAAAACGCCATGGAAATGGTGCTCTACCCAATTTTCAGACACACCCATCTCATATTGTTGGATAGTTGGTATGGCATGATATCATATTATATCCCAATAATTCCCAATATATCCCCCATGAGATATTCATTGTAATCCCATCAGGCCTATCTTTGAGCCTCAGAAAATTCAGCCCAGGATGGAGCTGAAACCCTCCGGGGATCCTCCCGGCACCTTCTCTCGGCGGCTCTTCAAACCGTGCAGCACAGCGTTGAGGCTCCGCAGCGCCGCGCCCAGTTTTCCCATGACCTCTGAGAGCTCTCCTTGGTGACTGGGGGCTGTGGACTGCCTCTAAATGATATCATTCCACTGTGTAGAATATGGTAAAATCATGCAAACTCATGTAAGAATTCTGAATATCATTTCAAGGCGCGTCTGCAAGTCGGAAATATCCCAAACACCTGATGGTTGATCATCAGATGCAAGTCTGTTTGTTGGTATCCGTATCCTATGGCTGGAAAAAAAAACAAACAGATGGGTGTATATGGGTGTACAAAAATGTTTACCAAAGCAATCACCAGCATATACCAGTTCACTGAAAATAAACCAAGTAGGACCAAGTAGGACCAAGTAGGACCAAGTAGGGCGCAGAAGCGAAGACATGCAGAGAAACCACATGAGAATTGGAAGTTAAGTATATCGTTATTATGGATTTATATCTGGTTGATGGTTTCAACCCCTTTGAAAAATATTATATAGTCAGTCGGCGTCAGTTGGGATGATTATTCCCAATATATGGAAAAATAAACATGTTCCAAACCACCAATCAGATATGGTCTTTTGTTGGTTCGAGCGAAACACAGTAGCTCAACACCGACGACCTCCGGCTGTGTCCCCAGCGTCGATGGGGACTGACCCAGCCATAAATGGTGACTTCAGGTATCGTCCCAGTAGGCAACAGCTGCAACATGACATGCACCAAGGATCTTCGGATCTTGCTGTTCCCATCAGTGAGCATTCTTCTTTGCTTTTCGTGGATGGCAGCTTTGACCTCATTGGCCTCGTCGCTTTGTTGGTTGTTTTGTCAGACTTATGTGGGGATGGGTCACAAACCATGGGATCCCCTTCTGTTTATATCAAAATTTATGGATGTCCATCCCCTTGAAAATGGTATTAATGTCTACATGCATATATTCATAGATGTTCCTCCATAGCCATTTTAGTGGAGCCTCAAATTTGTTGGCATCAAAGGCGAAAAAACCTCGCCCGCTATCTCAGCAACAGGGGCACAAAAAAGATTACGCTTGGAATTTTAGGTTCCGCCGAATATCCATCTGGGCTGCATCCCAAACCCAATGAGTCAATCACTATTCTCTCCATCAAATTGCTGTAACTTGGGGGTATGCCCCATATCAATCATAATAAGCATTCGTTGATAGAGTCGTATTCTAATAATCATGCTGCATTACATTGCATTGCATTGTTTTCATCAACAAAACTACTGATATCGTACCGTTTCCATTAATATAGTCATAGCACCGTTTCCATGAATATAAAATCATTTAATATTACTTTCTTCGAGCGAACCTCACCCTGAACCACTATTCTGACATAGTTTCTGGCATACCATCTGGAAGAATATATGGCATGTTTATTCTGACATTCTATCTGACAATATCTGACATTCTTTCTGGCATATACTTTGGCATTCGATTCTATCTGACCTTCTATCTGGCATCTATTCTAACATACTTTCTGGCATATATTCTGACATTCTTTCTGGCATTCTATCTGGCATCTATTCTGACATTCTATCTGGCATCTTTTCAGGCATTCTTTCTGGCATCTGTTCTGGCATTCTCTCTGACATTTTTTCTGGCATATGTATCTGGCATATCTTCTGACATTCTTTCGGGCATTCCTGGTATCTTCGGAGATTCTTTGTGGTTGAGGTCCGGCGGGGATCACTCTGATCCTGAGCTTGCTGTTCGGGTCCGCCGGGGAACACTGCGATCTAGCGCTTGCAGTTGAGGTCCGGCGGGGATCACTCTGATCCTGAGCTTGCTGTTCGGGTCCGGCGGGGGAACACTGCGATCTAGCGCTTGCAGTTGAGGTCCGGCGGGGATCACTCTGATCCTGAGCTTGCTGTTCGGGTCCGGTGGGGAACACTGCGATCTAGAGCTTGCAGTTGAGGTCCGGCGGAGGAGGCGGAAGAGAAGGCGGAAGAGGAGGACGAGGAGGTGGAGGCGGGACAGCTGACATTAACTCAACAACCCTCACCTGACAGGTGGGGAAAAACATATCATCAATTCATACGGAGATAGGTCAAAACCTATTGTTACCATTTTGGGGGAATATCGGAATAACCATCAACCAGCTATTCTAGGGTACCTATAGGTACCTAGGGTTGCAGGGTTTTGACCCATAAACCACGTCAATTCATCCCCCCAAAAAATGGAACGCCTCGCCCAGGACTGAAGCGACCTCCTTTTCAGCCGCCTCGCGTGTGGTTTTTCAGAAACGAAGACTGCTGCGTGTTGACCCGTTCTTCTTCGTGAAGACACATATGAAATACATGCAGGTAAATGATTAATAATGATTAACATGATTAATGATGGGGTAATGGTGCGATAATAAAGGGATATTCTTGGACATACTATCATACACTCCGGTGTCAAAAGTGGCTAGCCGGGAACAGCATCGAACTACATGGGGGATCTTCCAGCAAGCCACGTTTGGTGACCAGAGAGTATATCATGGGAACATCTGTGAATCGTCACAATTCCCTATTTTTCATATGGATATTGGGCAATGTTTGCATACCCAGCCTGCAATTAGGCAATGTTTCTGAAAAACCCTGGGTCATTCCCATCATGGATTGTGATAATCCACAAGGTATTGGATAGTATGACCCCCTTTTTCATCATCAAGCCTTGTAGGGCTTTTGAAGACTGCTCATGTGACATATATGGATATACATATATATAATATATATATAATATATATATAATATATATATATATAATATATATAATATATATATATGGGAAAAAAACATTTATAGTATAATTACACGGGGATAGAATGAGATAGAACGGGGATATAATTGTGGGATACAACACCAACTTGATACACGGGCGTGTCTCAAAGCAGCAACTGATGATTGAGCATCAAATTTGGAGGGATTCAATTTCCAGGTAAACCCGTATGGATCTGGGCAAAGGACAATAGGTCTTAAACATTCTTAATATATATATATACACATAATTTATATATGATTATATATCATGTATATGGTGAATTTGGGAGGATTCCGCGTACTTAGCATCGTCTGAGGGAAGTCTGTCAAGCAATTTATGTTTGAAACCATGAGACACCTCCATCTGGGTTTGGATGCCAACAAGCGGATTTCGAACAACCACAACAGCCAAACACCAGGAAAAAGGGATGAGTATCTACTAATCTACCAGAAACAGACCAGAATCTGCGGTCTGGTTGGTTTTGAGTTTTTGACCCCTGCCCTTCTATGTTCACTATGTTCACTGCTTCATAATTTCATAGCAGCTCATTGCCCAACGGCTTTAGAGGACCCATAAATCCCAGCTCCTCAGTCCGCTCCAAAAGCTTGGTTGGATCAGCTTCGTCCTCCAGCTTTTTGCACAGCTCTTCTGCCTCATGAAGCAACGAGTGCCGGGACCATAGACTCCACAGGGATATGATTGGTATAACATGCTATAAACATGCTATAAACATGCTATAAACATGGTATAGACCATCCAACAAGTGCATAGTAAATCATAGTAGTAAGAACTGACAAATATACCACTGCTCGAAGATTCTCAATTGACCAGGGCCCGCCTCCTGCACTTTCTTCAGCTGCGTTTGAGCATCTGACTTTGCCTCTTCGACGAACTTGACAGAGTTCTCCGCCTCGTGTTTTCGCTGCTTCTCCTGTCACAGCTGGTGGGATCAGCATACCAGATATGGTTAGACTATCTCAGAAGTAACAACTAGAGACCCTGGTTTAACACATTGGATCTATTCATAACTTGGGGGCCCACACTTTTTCGGCGTATTTAGTATTACAGTAGGAGGAAAGGTGTTTTAATTTAATGGCCACTTCTATCTGGAACCCACAAACATGGCTATGAAAAACGACTTTCCACACATTGAGCATTTTTGTCACTTTTCAAGAGCCTTACATTATCTTACAACCTCTCGACTCATCAAACAGGGTTTAACAAGGACCTACAAAATCTACAAACAGGGTTGGAAAAAACACCGATGGGATCCCAAGGGTTTGAAACCTCATATTTTTTCCCTCTAGCCTTTACACAAAATTCCCATGATTTTGAACATTTCCGTGACCTGCTCGGCTCGTTCCCGATCTTCTTGAGCACGTTGCTCGTTTAAGTCATCGATGCCTCAGTGCGACATTTCATGGGACACACCCTCAGTTTCAGTTTGATCAAACTTAAATTTGACTAAATCGATTCTGGTAATTTAACGTAGCTATTGAAAATGACCATTAATATTGGATTTTCCCATTAAAAATGGTGATTTTCAATAGCTATGTTAAATTACCAGAGGGTACATCACAAAAAAAAAGTTACAATGATAACAGACTGGGTCTGCGCCATCTCATTGAATCATATCAACACCTAGTGATTGCACCATACTTTCGTAGGGTTTTACTCATAAGTACATATAATTACCACCATTTTAGTAGGGTTTTTAATTGCCATTCAAAACCATAATTAACTTCTATTAAGACCCAATTAAAAGCCTATGGAAATCCTATTAAAACCCTATTAAAAGCCCCGATTTTCCTCATCCTCCAGTAACTTCGCCAAGCTTCGCGTCTGTGCAGCCTGTAGGACCTCCTCGGCCTCTTGTCCCACCTTCCACGGCGGTCAGGTTGGAGGGACCGATACCGGCATTACGACACTAATATGTATATATATATATTATAGTATATATTAGTATATATATATATAATACACTATCCTATAATAATATAATATAATATAATATATATATATATGTATCCTATATATATACATATATCCTGTATATACATGTATAGCCTATAATTAATATAATTAGCATACCTCCAGGTAATCTAAAGGTAATAAAGAAATATATGTAGAATATAGCCCCCTGCAGGGAGCAGCAGGTTCTCCTTAGGAACGGCTCAAAACCGTCGAGGCAAATTTGGACAATTGGAACCTGGGGACATATCATCCGAGGGCTAAGTAGGACGATCCCAGAATAGAAATTGGCTCATAACCCAGAGCAGCCAGTGGTTATCTATAGTTGGATCATCCCAGAGCAGCATTGAGCCATGAAAAAGACAGCGTTCTTCCATCGAAACACGGGTTGGTAAATAGGCATACCATTACAGAAAACTAAACAGGTAGTAGAACCCTCTATAGCAACCAACCGACTATCTTTTCTCAATACGAATTTCCCCACATGTTTGGTGGTTCACCCCACCATGAAGTCCACTTTTTGGTTCATCACGAAATCACATGAATAAGAGCTCCCATTCACAAATCCCAATATGGCTATGCGTCAAAAGCCTGCTACCCTTACCCTAAGTCATAGATGGTTTAATGCTTCTTCAAATAGGTTTTGACACCTAAGTCATAGCTGGTTGAATGGTTCTTACCCTAAGTCATAGCTGGTTTAATGCTTAATACCCTAAGTCACATATGGTAAATCCATAGGTTTTGACCGATCCCCATTTTGACTCCGATAAACCCATGGAATGTCTGCCTTCGAAGCGATGCTGCCCATGGCTTCCAGATTCGTTGCAATCGACTCTTCCAGTTGTGCGCGTAAGGCATCGTAGGAATCCTTGGTCTGCCGGTGCTGCCGGTGGTGTCCCAAAGTCAGATAGGACAAACGTGTGATTTCAGGGTCAAGGGTGATGGAATATTAGCATTCAACCAACAAACATGCTGATTTCCACAGGAAAGTTGCATACTTGGCTGCGCAATCCATGGTTTGCTGCAACATTTGGTGGCTAAAACACCATAAAATCCCTCTAAATTAATGGTTAAATCCCATTAAAATCACATATATATATATATATCACACATATATATACACATAAATATCACGTTGAATCCTTATAAACCCTCATTCAACTCCGTTATTAACCCATCAACACGGCAATTTTTTGAGTGGCATGGAACATCCCCACGCCCCATGAACATCAACACCTCTCCACCAAGGTGCAGCTCGAGCTGCCCGAACCTGGGAGACAAATATATGTGCACATACAATAACTTCATATAACTTATATTAGCCTTATATTGGATTTATGTTAGTCTTATATATTATATTGATTCATATTTTAAATTATAATTTTACTATATATACACATACAGAAACATGGCTACGGCGTGGTGAACGATCGGGGGAATCTGCTAGTTGCATCAAATCACTTTGGCAAAAAACGTACGGTATTTACTGTACCATGCTTTTTGGGGCCTGCACATATGGATTTGCAAAATTATTCAATTTGTAGTTTCAAAAAGGGGCCTGCATTTGAAAAATAACACACCATGTATTACACGTTCTGTGGGATTCACCCAATGCGGATTTTAATCCCACCCATTCACTTCACGGTACTGGGGATAGTTTATTGTTGGATATACCCTGTATTAACTGGATCAATTTTCGATTTCACCTTGAATCAGGCCATTTGGGGACAGTTGCTCTTACCAACCATCATTTACAGTGACATCGCTATGTGAACTCTATAACTTGTCCAAATCTATGCTAGTTTACCATGGTTTACGCCAATTACTAGATATGACTAGATAATCTATGATACGCCCGATTATATCCAACTATTATTTTGTGTAATTCCACCTTACACACATACACGTATATATATATAATTATATGTATGTACCTATGTTTAAAATACGATGTTTAATATATTCTATAATTCTATAATATGGTGAACCTAATAAGAACCAATCCCCATGCAATCACCATCAGAAAATCCTGCCTTCGCCAGCACCTTGCGGACGTTGGTGGCAGCGGTCATCTCCTGGTGGCTTCTGGGAAAGGATTGACACACGAATTAAGATATTGTGGTAAACAACTGGTTGGTGGTTTCAACCCCTCTGAATCATGGTTTCAACATTGGCGGCCAAGCATGGGTTTCATCACCCAGATCTGGTTGGTGGTATACCTACCCCTCTGAAAAATATGAGTTCGTCAGTTGGGATGATGAAATTCCCAATGTATGGAAAAAGAACGAATGTTCCAAACCACCAACCAAACAATGATTACCAGGATCTTCATTAGGTACAACATGGTACAATAATCTTCATTCAGTATTGAACAAATTGATCCACATTGTCAGTAAACATTATGAGAATATCATGGTACACACATATTGTCTGGAAATAACGTAATTATCGTATGGCATACATTATTATATTTATCATGTGTTGGCATCCTCTGGGAATAATTTGATATGACTTGGTAAACATGGTAGATTTTCTGAGAATGATGTCACATTTTTTATTGAACAAATGCTGGTTGGATTGCCATTTGTCAATAAGATTTCTTGAGATCACCCAAGATGCATCAGTTATGAGAATTATATAGAATTATCATACAGAAAATGATTCAAATTCCGACTGGAACTTAATAATAGACCATTTTTGATTACTGTGGTAGCCCAACGAACTAACCACACTTGGGCAAAAACCATTTTGACTGAAACCAACAACTCAACACCGAAGAATTTATAAAACACATTGCAACGTAAAGCCCCAACGTTAGAAATTGGTAAAATCTGATTCCAACGAATAGTAATTACTTTTCCACATCTTTCTGGGGGTTACCATAGTTCTACATACACTGAATATAATTTCATCAGACGTTAGCGGCTACATCCTGCAGGTTGAGGCCCTGTTTTCACGCTGACTGGAAAAAACATGCAGTACCCACTGGTGCCTACGAAGTTGCTTCATGAACTATTGATCATCTCATAGATTATATAATATTATATATATATATTGTTTGTGCAATGGCCTGTCTATCTAGCAAAAAATCGATATGGTAAGAATGAGTAAGATCATGTAAGATCTATCTAAATTCATTGTACCCCTTGTGTGGCTTTCACCACCCCAAACCTCATGGATCATATCAAGGCACGGCCAACACGCCAGAATGATGGTTGCAGCCATTGGGTAGCTGCAACCATCATTTAATCATTGAGTCCAAGGAATTATCATCATGGTTAACTGTGTGTAAAGCCCCGAGGCACCAGCCACTAAGGAATTATCAGCGCTGGCCCCTTTGCTGAGATCTATCCCACCACAATTGCGGCTTTGGAGGAAGCATTTCCAGGACATCCTGTGATTTCACAGTTGAAAATTCCAATTCTGGGACTACCCTCTGGTAAACTAGCTATGGGAAAATCACCATTTTTATCTAGCTAAATCATCCATAGATTGACCATTTTTCTTCGCTATGTTAGTTTACTGGAGGGCATTCCCCAAATTTTTGGTTGCTGGTGATATTCCACTTGATGCGAAGGTGTTTTATAAGTAATATAACTGGGGCTTTATGGTAGATATGTATCTATAGATATCTATAATAGTTATGGGCTTTATAAACCAACACACATAACTGGGGGGACACCACCATGGCCCTCATTCATGTAGGATCTCCTTCCGTCGTTGCAGATCCTCCTCGCGATTCCGTTTCATCTCTTCCTGCGAAGCGATGAATACGTCCTCATTAAGGGTTGTCTTTCAATGTACCAGGTGATGAACCATCCAGAGCCATTCATAGCCACACCCCCCAATGAGTTTAGAAATTCTCCAAATCATGAGTGACAATCGGAGGTTCAAAAAATCATCACCCCAATAGTAATCCCAAGAACTATCCCAATGATGGTTGGTAAAAATATCCCATTGTTTTAGATTACCTCTTGGTTGAACCATTGGTTGTCCACATATGTCCACATCAGGTGTGGAAATTTGTCAGGGCCCCTGCAGCTCCTGCCGCTTCCTTTGAGCTTCCTCTGCTTCCGCAGATTTCCGTCGGAGCTCCTGCCCCAGGAGAATTTTGGCTCTGAAAGGAGGCAAAAAAGGTTTGTCAAATGGGGTAATTATCACAAATTCCAATGGTGTATCATCGGTATCATCCCTATCGTCCCCATCGTCCCCATCGTCATCATCATCATCATCATCATCATCACCATCACCACCACCACCACCACCACCATCATCAAATGCCTCAACATTCCGGGTATATCTAAATTTCAGACAAACCCAGATAGTTGAAGGGATCAACTATTTTGGCTGGAAGGTATATTGATGCAACCGGTTTGACACCGATGAGAATGGGCCAAAAACCGTTCTTGGTTGACGATTCGCTATGGTATCAATCTTTCACACTGGGGAAGATCACGATTCTCCATGTGGATATGACCGGAATGGGGTTTCTTAAATTACCACACACTTGGAGATGAACTAAGCGGAAATGATTGTTCGGCGATAGTTGAGCCTGGTTTGAAACTATCAATAGCTCAATATACATCCCACGTACCTGGGATCCCGCTCTCGAGAGAAACAGAATAACTGTGGTGACTCTAAGGAGGCCTGAACCTTGATTTTGGGTACTCATTTGACCTGTACCCCATGCCAGGGACGATTATTGCGCTCTGTTGGACGGTCATGTTGTGGTTCAACACCAACAGTTCAGGGGTGTCCATGCACCATGACTGCCACAAGTTGGTAGGACATCAACAAATTGGCGATGAAACACTGAACAGTCTTGAAAGATGCTCTGGTGCAGTTGACGCCAGCAAATGATTACAGATAATCAGATAATCTCACCTAAACATGTTTTTTCACTCAGCTGTACTTTTCTGATCTTTTCCACCTAGGGATGAAATAATGCCATCACTCCATCTTTGAAACCCAGCCAAATCAGAAAGCCGTCGTTGTCAAACCCACCTCGATGCGGTTGTTTTGAGGGCCACCCGGGCCGATCGTTTCTGGCTTCTTTCGTTCCATCTGCCGATTTGCCCGGGATGAATTCGATTGGGACGTCTCAAAGCTTAAGACCTCTTCGTTGCAATAAAGATGAAATAAATGAATACCAGTTTCCCAAGATGGGTGGCAATCTGACTTTCTCACTCCTTCCTATGTGGACGCTGTCTCACACATGTTCTACGAATCATTTTCCATGTACAAACGGCTGCCCGATAAGCACACCATTTCCAGTGTCGGGCGTGTCTGAAAACGGGGTGTACTGGTAAAATTGACATTTTCTTACAGGAATATACAGGAATCAACATGATGATGACATATGATGACTGATTAATAGATTTAAGGATTCACCACTACTACGGGTACCCCATTTTTGGACAAACCAATATACCCATTAAAACTGGTCATTTGCCGATATGAGGACCGGCGATTAGAGTGTCAGACATGGTTGCTTCTCAAAAAATGGGGCAGCAATGGGCCCAACAAATTGGCAGTTCCCCCAATTGGAACCTGCTGAACTACGTGGGTCTGGGCTCTTCCACCAAAATGAGAATTGGACTGGGACAGCTATTGAAGAAAACACCTGATTTATGGGTACATACATGATCATACATACACCATTTCCAGATCTTGACCCAGATGTTAAACATTTTAGTGGTCAATAGTTTTTGATGCACACCCGCAGCCAAAAATCATGGCGCCTGCAGATCATGCGGCTTCATGACGGGTCTTACTCCCACCACCTGACCCTGGAGGCTTCGCTGGTGTTTTTCTGGGGTTCCCATCATGGGGATATCACAGAGTAACTTCAACAAACAGTGGGAAGTCATAGATGTCATAGTAACAACCAGTGCTAACCAACATATCCAATATTGTTGTTACTCTGACTTGGGATGAAACATATACTATTTCCATCTATTTCCTTGGGGGAATCATCCCAACATATTGAAGTATCAGGATTCGCCAATCTGAAATAAGGTCATCTTGGGATGATTCCTCCAAGGCGAAAACAATCGCTTTTGAGGATCTGAGGGTCACGTTGGTGAATATTCAGCCAGCATAACTATTCTGCGGATCTGCGGATCATAAGAATCACCAATGAACCATAGTACTAGTAGAATCCCCTAGTTCTGGTAATGGAACATATGACATAGCCATGGAAAATGGAATAAAATGGATGAAGATGGCCCATTTATGGATGATCTACCAATAAAACACGGTGATTTTCAATAGCTTTAATACCCACTCATCACGAGGGACTTTGGTCACTGCTCAGTTGAGTGATGCATGGAACAGCATCCGATCGATCCATGACTGCTGGGAAGCCTCCCATAGATGGTACCTGTGGGTCACTGTGCAAGTCCCTAACACCCCTGATACCCCTGCAACGCACAAAAACAAAGCGTCCATCAATATAATTATCTGCCGGTTTGCTGTAATACACCCCCAAACAGTATAACAAAGATCCTGACAGCTTCCCATCCCTAGGTTGGAAAGCAGTCTTCCAAGGTCGCATTTCTAGGCAAATCCTCCCTAACATCCCCTAACCATCCCTAACCGCCGTAACCATCATTTATGGTGACTGAGCGTCAGTGAACTCGGTATGATTCCCATTGATGTTCCATGATCTTCCCGGCGAACCTTCATTTACAGGGCATTTCCCAGCCATGTTGGATGACACAGGTGGGGCATTTAAGGGTAACTTGGCAGTTCTTCGGGATTGAGCCCCCCATCCCAGACCCTCGCGCCGCGCCTTTCCCACAGCCTTTCCCGCTGCCTTCCCCGCCGCTTTTCCCGGCTGCGGCGCCGGCGCCGGCAGCGCCGGCGGCGGCGCGGCGCTGGCTGTGGCTGGGGTGTAGGTGAGCCTTAAAGGATGGGATCTGGATCAACCCGGATCTTTATGCTGCCTTTAGGTAGCCGAACCATGGGTATTTCACCATGGATCCGGTGCTGGTTTAGTCCGGATTTGAACACTGATGGATATTTCGCGGGGATGATCATGGGGATGATATAGCTGATAAAACTAACAATATAGGAATAGAGTGGGGAGATCATGGGATATAAAATGGGATATGGGATATGATATGATATGATGTAACGGGATATAATGCGATATATGATATGACAACAAGGTAAGTGCGCCAGTTCGTCAGCTAAGTTGGTTTGTAACCAGATTAACTATCGGGTTATGATCAGTAAACAACAAAATAGAAGTTGGGATGAATTCAGTTTATCACACAGGAAATTTCGAACATGGGACTTGGTTCATGATTTTTGGCTCGATAGGGCTACAGTTACATACATATATATATATATATTATATATACATACATGCATACATAACATAACATAACATAGCATCACATAACATTACATCGAATTACATGACATTACATTACATACATACATACAGAATTCTCTAACCTATATATATATATAATTATATATACTAAGCAGCTAAGGATGGTTTCTTTTGGCAGGGTAAGATTCGGCATGTAATGTGACACATCTCCAACAATCATGCACATCCAGTCAATCTTCCCTCTTGGTCTATCAAAACAACATCCAAAAAAGGGGATGTGGGATCCAATCTATCTGTGGTGATGGGGATTTCATCCACAAAATGGGGCCGCAACAAATGGGACATGGCATTAACCAATGAATCTGGCTGCTGGATACCCTCTGAAGCAAGCATAAGAACATCTTGTGCACATTTGAAGATGAATTTCCAGAAAAAATGGAGATTTGCAGTTGCCATGTTTGTTTGCTAAATGATATCAAGACCCCCATCTGCGTGAATACCCCTGTTGATATCTGGGGATTTCTTTAGATTGGAGATGATTGGAGACCGGAAGCTTCCAAAGTTTGACCATTTTAGTATCGAACACCCATGAATGTCGAACATTTTCCGAACGATTTCATAGTTTCCAGATTTTATCGAGATGTTCAGGTTTTGCAGGCTATGTTCCTTGATTTTTCCCTAGGTTTTCCCATCTCTTCCCTTGGTTTTCCCTGATTCCGAGACGCGTGAGGCTTGGATCCACTGGGCCGTCCCAAGGGACATGCCATCCAGCAGGTGGTGGGGTGGGGGAGCTCCTGGATGACTGTTTTGCTTGGGGATTTTTTGGGTGACTCAAATTGGAGATTTAAAAAAACTTGGGGATTCGGCTCACATTTCGATTGATCTCCGACAATGTTTTTGAAGAGTTTTGTGTCCTGAGTAAGGATTTTAATGGGTCTTATAATGTTTTATATATTTGGGATATGCTCACATGAATCCAACACTGCCAGGGTTTCATCAACAAAAACACAGCCCGTTTCACGCCACGCGTTGTCGTCCTGTTGTCCGCGTGCGACCACACTTGATCACCGCCAACTTTGGGTCCGATCCACCAACCGCTAAAGCTTGAACCGTCTCGATCATCCCAGTAATAAATCAGAACCGTCACCTGGGGATTGGGGAAATTGGGATATCATGGGATGTCATGGGATGTCATGTTTAGGATCTGAATAACTCCTCCTGGAGCTTTCATTACGATGTTTTCAACGTCATTGTTCTCAATTGATCCAACATTTCTGCCACCAGTGGCCGAGGCCGCAACATTCGGATCTGAAGTGTCCTGGAAGGAGGTCGGTACTAAAGTTTGCAACAAAATGTGCGTGCAAAATCGGTCCAATTCAGGAGAAAGATGTGGGGCAAAGTCGGCAAACTTTCCGAAAATGTAGTCACTAGAGTCACTAGAGAACATGCTTGAAGCACTTTTCTTGGACTCGTTGGTCGGTCCTTTTTGTAGATGTGCTTCCCATGGTTACTGCCAGCCACGGAAAAGGAGCCTTTGATTATGTTTGAGACCGTTTCCTTAGACAGCAGGCTGCTCCAAGATATGTCTTGCTGTCAGAATGGGTCTAGAAGATGGGCACATATGGGCACCCCAAAAACCCTACATACCGCATTTACCGTATCACTTTGTCCAAAAAATGAGGATTCCCATGGCCATGGGGTTCGGGGCATCCCCGGACGATCCATGATTTGATCTGCATCGAAGGGAAACCATCTGCACCAATGCGAGATTACTGAAGCTGTTACTGAAGCCATAAAATGGGCGGCCATTTCCCATTTTCAGACACACCCGCCCTGATATATCCGCGTATTACTTGCATTTTATGTTCCAAATATATTCAAATATCATATCCTCTCATCTCCAGTGTGAAATCCCAATTTTGGTGATCTACTACCTCTTTTTCATGATTCAAAACCACCATTTCTCACCACAACTCCCGGGGTCAAGTTGCATTGGCGCAGCCAGAGACCATGATCCCCTGTGCAGATGGAGCCGATGCCGATGGAGATAGGGCCAGGCTCTGCGGTCTGACCTGGCCGGTTTTGAACGTCGCCTGTGGAAAATTGGGCCGTTTGTTGAGGTGGTTTTCGGTGATTTTACTGTTGTTTTCTGGGTTTTTAAGGTGATTTTACGGTGGAGTTCTGTGATTTGCTGTGATAATTTGGTGTGACTTCGAAGGAAAATTCATGAAACTTCAATGATTGAGGGAAACTCTTAATCGGACACCCTGGTTTTGCAATCAGCACGCATGAGGGTTTCCTATAAAGTTCCCCTTAAACCAATACTGTCCAAGGAATATTTGGTGGCTTGATGTGATTTCAGCTTTAAGGATGTTTAAGGTATATCCACCATGTTTGTTGCTGTCTCAAAATGGGGGGATATGTGCTCATTTTGTTGCATCAAAGCGTGGTGAAAATGAAGTTCTAATCAATGGGGTAGATTGAGGTACTGTACTCGATTTTCAGACAAACTGCGGTGGAATCAGACTCTTCAAAGCAGGAGAGTAGACGACCAACGATGAGATCGTCTGAACTAGCCGGACCAAATCACGCATAACAAATGGTTTAGTAGAAACAAGCGACCACTTTTCTGGGTCCATTGGTACATATTGGAATCCAATTTTTGACCCGGCCTGGTGGGCAGGAGGGCGCATGCCCTTTCCATCCTTGGTAGCTAGATCTGTGACGTGGTCAAGTTACACTACCGTCCTGGGGAATGCAACCAAACATCATGGAGATATTCAAACCCTTCATAACCATGTCCCCATATGGAGATACAATCCAAGTTTTGATTGTAGTTGGTTATATGTGCATATACATATATGTATTTGTATATATTGTATAATATATATATATGCAATATATATAATATATACACACCCATTAATGTCCCTTTCAATCAGCATTTCTAATGGTTAAATCCAACTTTCTAGGGGCAATGTACTGAAGTTTATGGCTAACATTCACCCAGCATCTTTTCCTTTGCTTCCTTTGCCAGCTTGACCCATGCCTTTCGATGCCTCAAAGGACGCACAGGGGCCCAGCCATTTTTGGGTATGAAGTTTTGCTCCATATCTAGGCACACAAGCCATGGAACTAAAACACAGGTGCATCTCAAACCTTGCATATTCTTTAGAGCGGATGATTTTCAAATATTTTCAATGCCCTCCTCTGGGCTTCGCGCCTGCATCTGTTGATGCTGCATTTGAGGCTGTTGCATTTGCTGATGCTGCATCTGTTGATGTTGTTGATGCTGCTGATGCTGCTGATGCTGCATCTGCGGCCGTTGTTGCTGTTGCTGCATCTGCTGCCGCTGTTGCTGTTGCTGCATCTGCTGATGCTGCTGGTGCTGCTGATTCTGCTGATGCTGCATCTGCTGGTTGTGCATCTGCTGCATTGGCTGCTGCATTGCCTGCATCTGCGGCATCTGCTGCATTTGCGGCTGCATCTGCCAAGCCATGGGAAGACCCCTGGCACAAAGCCCCCGCTCTGCAGCAGTCCCCAATTTATATGGGGTAATATGCATATACTGCATACTTGCAAACCAGCCATGGAGGAAGGTTTGTATACGTTTCAAAGCTGACTCCCCAAATCGGATGGTTTCACATAACTGGATCCAGAGCTCGCACACTTTTTTAGCCACGCCACATCAAAATCCTGTAGAAACAGCACCCCCGGCCTGGGCCGCCCAGGCCTCTTCTAGGCCGACAACAAAAAAGCTGGAAAGGTGTCGTGATGTGGGGCTGATGATTTCAGGCCAAGACACTAAGGATGTCAACTTTGAATCTACCTGTTAAGCTTGGCTTCAAGAACATGGCTGGAATCGACGTGCGGAAGACTTTTTCCATTTTTTTGTGTTTTTTATGAAGCAGCTGATTAGAGGCGGAGACGCTTTTTATCTTTTTGGTGTTTTCTTCTCAGAGATTCAAGCTGCCCCACTTTGGAGCATTTTCTCGGCCGAAACGCTGCTTGTTTGGATGGAGAGTGCATTGGCGCAACAACATTTCATCAGGCCCAGCAGTCTATCAGGTGACCCGTCAAATGTGACCATCCGTCTGTTGGCTTCAAGCGGGCAGCAGGCCATTTCTGTATTCAATGTCGTATCATTTTCAGCACCCAAAAACAAGACAGACCAAGGGGCGACAATAGGATCAATGTCTCTTTCCAGTTTGCTGTCCTTTGACAAATCATCCATTTTTTGGTCACCGCGGTCAATCGGTGCTCAGGACCTTCTCCTTGCAAGTTTGACACCTGGCGATGTCCCAAGAACGGCTGGGATTGACAGTAATTCAGCATGTTTTAAATGTGTGCCATCCATGTACAAGAATTAGAGCCAAATAGCCTAGCCATCGAAGTGTCCCATGTTCGCCGATTCGTGGCTTTGTTTATGGGCCCAGTGTGAAACCATGTTCAATAGTGGGGAGAAATAGGGTGGTCTACAATAATGCCAAATAAAGAAACTACAAATAGGACAACAACAAATAGGACAACATGGATGGCTAAAATGGCAAATATGTGCTGAGAAAAGTGACAAACCAACTAAAACATTGAAAACAGCAGTGGATAAACTGACATTGCTTGACCGACCAGCATGTGAATCATGGAGTATGTAATATATAACTATATATACACAGTAGTAAACCATCCCCTTCAATTTGTTTGTGAAACGGGGTGTGTACCCCAAGTAGTGGGACCATTTCATAGCCCCCCGTAGTGATGGTTGATAAGTGGGGATGACTATGGCAGCCAGTGGATCACACATTATGAATATTGGGAAGACCCAAAGTGACACATACCTATACTATCCTAATCTCGACCTCCTATTCATAAAACCCAAAAAACATGCCACCAATGAGGACAAGTTTTAAATAATTTTAAAAAACATATTGCAGTGTGTCAAAACCTTGTACCCCTGGTGAACATCAAAATAGCTGGTAAATGGATGTTCATCCCCCTAAAAATGGTATTAATAGGTATTGATCCATACCCATATAAGTTATAGACCCTGAACAAAACTCGTCTTCTGGGAAGACCATCGCAGAAATCCAGGTCGGGTCAACGTGCCAGCACCGGGCTCAGCCAAGAGTTTCCTCGGATGGCCAACCCCAAGGACCCACCAGAAATGGCTGGTACAAACCCTCCAAACTTGGAGGAAAATCGAGGTGTATTTATGGGTTTACCATGGTTTAGCACATTGGAATTACATATTCCATATATCGACATCCCAAAACTATACGTGGACTCTGGCATAGGAATGCACCGGTCTGAGACCGGTAGTCTGCTTGATGCATCAAACAAAACCAAAACACTCGACCGCAGCATGGTTCCTTTTTCGCACGCGCGGAATTCCCATAGTCCGTCGGAGTCAAGATCGTCCAAAAGTTCGCTTTCACTGGGGCTGAACTCAGCGCCTGCTTAACCCGGTATGGTCCGATCTTCGCGTTGAGGCACTGATTCCTACCAATGGCAAGCCCAGAACCTCAGCAATGGCGATCTTCTGGTAGAAACTCCTCCATCCAGCAGACTTCGGCTTTGGCGCTCCCGCCGTTTTTCAGCTAGACTTGGCAGTGAGATTCCTGGCAGGTTAGACATGATCTCCCGAACACAGCAGCATCTGTTGGCTTTGACGGTGGATACCCAATAGAAATCAATAGAACTGTGTTTTTTTGGGATAACAAGGATGATGAATATGAAAAACAGATACTCTCTGGTTATTTAAGATAGCCATGGAAAATGGCCCATTTATAGATGGTTTACCTATTAAACATGGTGATTTTCCATGGCTATGTTAGTCATAACCAAATGGTACAAATATCGGATTTGGATTTTGGGGTTCCAATTTTGAGACAACCCCAGCATGAAATGACCACTCGGATCCATCTTTTGTTGACTCCTGGACGTGAACCAGCTGGAACCATAGGAGATGAGCAGCTCTTCACCTTTCTGCACTGGCCTCCGCTACGCGGGGGCGAATGGCTGGATTTCTATCCTAAATGTCTACTCAAAATCACATATTGCAACCAGGAGTTTAATATATAATTTTTATTATATAATTTTTCATGATCTTCTATGGTCCCAAACAACATACATGAGTTTAACATAATTATAAAACAATCTAATCAATCTTCTGTGGTTCCAGGTATCCTCTTTTTTTTGTCCTGGACCCAAGTAGCCTCCAACCTGTTCCTCATGCCATCGATGTTGATACACCCAGTTCATTCACAACATCATCAGTCATCATCCAATCAATGATAATGTTGGTACAACAATGTCATAAACCATCCCAATTTCACCAATTTTTATAGGTGGTACTTTACCATTTCCAAATGGCTGGTTTATCAGCTGAATCCTCACATCCAAAATAGCTACGTAGACTTCATGGATGTTCATCCCGCCGATGACAGGGTATTTGGGCATTCATATCGTTTTCGTATATTTTCATACCACAATCATCCATAATAGGTATTCATAAGCGTTTTATAGGCATTTTATAAGTAATACCATACCATCATAATAATTTATAGCATCATCCATAATCCGTAATTCATTCATACCATAATAATCATAATAATCGTTTAAATAGCATACCATAATCCATAATCCATGCCATAGAAATCATTCATAGATATTATAGGTCGTGAACCAACATCCACCTCAAGGCAGAATCCATAATATCTATGAATGATTATAATAATCCATGCCATAATATCTATGAATGATTATAACCATTACTATAATAATTATAACATCCTCCATCAAATCTCCACCTCAAGGTCCAGAATCGCCCCACCAGTCGTCGGCCATGCTCCCGTCGTTGCTCCCACGCGAAGTCGGTGTTGGGGTCCTGCGGAACGTCCGGAAACGATGGAACTGGGATGCGATTAGGGATCTGTAGTCTGTCTTGATATAGCATACTAATCATAGACTCCCGAGCTCTTGGAAAGAAGAGACCAATCATAGAGATATGATATTTAAATCTATTTACAGTAAATATCTTCAGATATGCAATATTATGGAAGCATATATGAACAAATCCAATAAGAATAAATAAGAAGGCGGGCATATGATAACCATTGATAACCATTTTCATAGCGAGATTGGAGATTGACCACTCATATACAGACTCTCATTGATGGATGTTACCAGCCAAATGGATGGAATTCCTCTTGCAGGATTTCCCGTCATCCTTAAACCAACTCTGGGATACTAAAGCATAATGTTGGTAGATTCATACATGACATGTATAATTAATAACTCCTAAGAGTCTCCAATTTATCATTGATACGTTACTATAAGAAATGTTCCCATTTCCATCTATTTCCTGAGATTATCCTATTTACAATTGAGTTGCGGTTGCATAATTTGCTCGCCCCCTGCCAATGGAGCGGATGATCCCTCCATGATTCGACGGATTTCAGATCCGTTACCCGCCAAATGGACCTATGATTTTGGGCTATCCGCCTATCCATATCATTCAAATGTAAAGATGCTAACTCAGGCCACGCCCTCAGGTACAAGTTGATAACCCCATCTAACTGGTTTGACATCTGCCACAACCTCAACACGTAAGCTACTTGTAAACCACACCATCTATCCACCTTAGCTGGGCAGGGGCCATGACATACCCCAGCTGTTTTTTGCGCACCTCTGCATGGTTGTGCAGGCTGGCGAATCCCAGACCCAGAATCGAGTAGTTCTTGGCCTTGGACACGGATTTTTGTGGATCCCATGGAAAAAAAGGTGAACTTGAATATGTTTTTCCATGTTTTTCCCGATCGTATTTTATGTTAAAAAAACTAATATGAACATATGCTATTCTCCTCATACCCCAGAATATGTATATGATACAGTATATGGCTTCCGCCTAATATTAAACACACCCCTTCCATGGTCCCAGATATGGTTAAATCCCCCTACTAAGATATGTTTTTTGTGAGTTTAGTTTTTGGGAGAAGGGATTAATAGGTATTAGGCTTCTTTCGGTCGTCAGCCTGTTCTGTAAATATTGAGTTCGTGGGATATGGGAATACAACATATATCCAAAGCGAGGTGAGCTCCCCATAGTGTATGACATATTCATGCATTATTGTTTTCAATATATTTATGGATATAGATATTTATAGATATTTATAGATATTTAGAGAGAACACAGTATATGAGGTGCGGACAACTTTATCGATTACCCGTAAATGCTGCTGGCGCAAACCTGGCTCCTGCCCTACCGCTTGTTTTGCGACTTTGAGAAGGCATCATCAAACGTGGCTAGCTGGAATTTCTCCCAGTTTGATGGATATATCCCATTAAAAAATGGTAGAAGGGGGAAGCTAGGACAAGACAGGTTGTAGGTCAGGTGGGAGGCTGTTATGTTTTTGTTCAATCTTGTAATCTGAAATGGTTGACTGTTTCTTTTTGGTTATATAAATGTTTTAGGTTGTTGTAACAATGTTTGGTTTCAATGAGGGTAGGCTTTGTTGAGGGTGTTTTGCCTGTTATGTTTTTTATGTTGTTGTTCAATGTTTCTTCCTTATCTTTGATGTTTTATGTGGTGGGGGTTTTGGGAATATTTTGCCCCTAACTTTCACTTGATGGTTTGGTTTAAGATGAGGGGGATAATTGTTTAGGCTGTTGGGGTTTATGTTTGTGTTTGGATGGGTGATTACTTCATAATATGTTTTGTTAAGATATTATGAATTAATCATTTATGCTTTCCACTTTCCTATTCCATCCCACCAGTGTTCAATTATCCTGACTTGACTTGTGATAGTTGGCTCGTCTGTATCATCTAAAATTAGTTCATCTATTGCTAATGCTAATAGAGTTTGATTTATTGCCATAGCATCCCATTTTCCATCACGGTTAAGTTCCTTACCACATTCAACGATAATTGTTTTGTTAGTGAGGTTTTCATACATTCTTTTTATAATGTCAAATCTCATAAGCGAAAAAAATATCATTCCATTTATTCCTTGGTCGTTTTTCAGCCTATCAATTACTTTAAACCACCAGTATTCTCCTTCCTCATCATCTGTTGAAGGCATAGGATGACACTTTACAAAGTCTCTAATCTCTTCATCTTCTTTTTCTATTGCTTGTCTATCACATTCGTGTTCATCTTCGCTTTCACTACCAAAGTCAGCATATATACCGATATTATCTCTATCTATAACCTGAATTTTTGCTTTACTCATTTTCTCTTATTATATATTATAGTTATTTTTTCTTTAAGTATTTACCACTTTTTGTAGATACTCTTTTATTTTTTCTATGTTCAAATATTTCTCATAACCGTTGAACAGTTCTTCAACATATTCACGCAAAAATATTTTCAAAATGTCATTTACCTTAAACTCCCTATTTCTGAATGTATAAGTCCAATCGTTTTGAGGAAACCACCACTCCCGTTTGTTCTTACAATATGTCATATATGTAAGGTCGTGAAAGTTTTTAAGGAAGTGATAGGTAGTTTTCCACTCCTTTTTCACAAAAGACTTAATCGCCATTAAGAACAGTTTGTCATGTTTGAATTCTTGCTTGAGTTTGAATGTATCCATTAAAACATCAATTTCTCTTTTCATTTGCCGAGTGTTTGTTCGGTTCGTGTTGGACAAATAAATAGGTGATTTCTCCATCCTTGTTTTAAAGAAATAGATTGTCTTTTCTGCTCTTGTCAGTTTTTTATCATTAAAATAGTCAAAATGATAATTGAAATCTATGTATCTACGCTCCTTATCGTTTAAGTCTTTACATTTCAGAAGGGGTACCCATGGGGGGCGCAGGTGTGCAAATTGTAGAAACGCGCATTTTTTGAGAGGTACTGTGATGAAAGCATCTTCACATGAAAAACATACAAAAAACGATGGAAAAACCAAAAAAAAAAAAAGTTCAGACCCATGTCCCCTGCCAGGCCTCTCCCCAGACCTTGCCCATGGGTCTGAACTTTTTGTTTTTTTTGGTTTTCTCGAGGTTTTGGCCAAATTGTAAAAAAACCCATGGAAAAACCAAAAAAAACAAAAAAACCAAAAAGTTCAGACCCATGTCCCCTGCCAGGCCTCTCCCCAGACCTTGCCCATGGGTCTGAACTTTTTGTTTTTTTTGGTTTTCTCGAGGTTTTGGCCAAATTGCAAAAAAACCATGGAAAAACAAAAAAAAACAAAAAGTTCAGACCCATGGTTTTCTCGAGGTTTTGGCCAAACTGCAAAAAAACCATGGAAAAACCAAAAAAAACAAAAAAAACAAAAAGTTCAGACCCATGTCCCCTGCCAGGCCTCTCCCCAGACCTTGCCCATGGGTCTGAACTTTTTGTTTTTTTTGTTTTTTTTGGTTTTCTCGAGGTTTTGGCCAAATTGCAAAAAAAACATGGAAAAACCCAAAAAAACAAAAAAAACAAAAAGTTCAGACCCATGTCCCCTGCCAGGCCTCTCCCCAGACCTTGCCCATGGGTCTGAACTTTTTGTTTTTTTTGGTTTTTTTTTGTTTTCTCGAGGTTTTGGCCAAATTGCAAAAAAACCATGGAAAAACCAAAAAAAACAAAAAAATCAGACCCATGTCCCCTGCCAGGCCTCTCCCCAGACCTTGCCCATGGGTCTGAACTTTTTTTTTTTTGTTTTTTTTGGTTTTCTCGAGGTTTTGGCCAAACTGCAAAAAAACCATGGAAAAACCAAAAAAACCAAAAAAAAACAAAAAGTTCAGACCCATGTCCCCTGCCAGGCCTCTCCCCAGACCTTGTCCATGGGTCTGAACTTTTTGTTTTTCTTGTTTTTTTTGATTTTTCCATAGTTGTTTTGCATGTTTTTCATGTGAATATGCTTTCATCACAGTACCTCTCAAAAAATGCGCGTTTCTACAATTTGCACACCTGCGCCCCCCAGGCCAAATTGCAAAAAAAACATGGAAAACCAAACTTCATTTAATGACTTATATCATGACTAATATAATGATTATATATATATATATCTATCTTGATTTATTGAATAAAAAATATCATGGTTCATAAAATGACTAATATAATGATCAATATAATGATCAATGTAATCATTGCTATAATAATGAATTTCATGCTTAATATAATGATTAATATCATGATTCATATAATGATTAATATAATGATTAATAAAATGATCAATATCATGATTATAATCATGATTCATATAATGATTGATGAAATGATTAATATAATGACTAATACACTGACTAATATAGTTATTAATAAAATGATTAATATAATGATTCATATAATGATAAATATAATGATTCATTTCATGATTCAGTTAATGACTCATATAATGACTAATATAATGATTAATATAAGGATTTATGTGATGGCTGGTATATTTTTTTAATTTATTGACTAATATCATGATTAATAACATGATTCATAGAATGATAAATATATTTTTCATGATTATTTTAATGACTTATATAATGACTAATAAAATGATTAATATACTGATTAAAATCATGATTTATATCATGATTCATATAATGATAAATATAATGATTTATCTAATGATTCATTTAATCACTTATAAAATGACTAACATAATGATTACTATAATGATTAATTAAATGATTAAAATAATGACTATTATAATGATGAACTTAATAATTTACATTATGATTAATTTAATGACTTATATAATGACTAATATCATGACATTTCTATAATGATTAATTGAATGATTAATGAAATGATTGGTTAAACGATAAATATAATGATGATTTTAATGATTGATATAATCATTAATTTCATGATTAATTTAATGATTAATGTAACAATAAAAAATTGCTAATATAATGACTAATATAATGATTATATATGTATTTTTCATGATTAATAACATGATTAATATAATAATTAATATAATGACAACATAATGACTAGTATAATGAATATTAAATTATTAGTATAATGATTAATATAATGATTAATTTAATGACTAATATGATTCATATCATGATGAATAAAATGATGAATATCATGACCAGTAAAAAGATTAATTCAATGACTAATATAATGAATAATGTAATGATTAATTTGAATGACTAATATGATGATTAATAAAATGGCTCATATAATGATTTATATAATGACTAAAAAATTGATTATATATATGATGATTCATTTAATGATTAATTTAATGGTTAGTATAATTTTCTGTACAACGACTAAAATAATGAGTCATTTCATTATAAATATAATGATATGATTCATTTCATGACTTATATAATGACAAATAACATGATTAATATCATGATTAATGAATGATAAATAAAATGATATAATTGGTTCATAGAATGATAAATATAATGATTAATTTGAATGATTCTTTGAATGGTTTACAAAATGACTAATATAATGATTTTACATATATATATATAATGATTAATATAATGATTAATTTCATGAGGCATACCATGATAAATATAATGATTAATCTAATGATTCATTTAATGACTTATATAATGAATATTATTATGACTAATATAATGATTAATGTAATGACTGATATAATTATGATTTTAATGACTAATATAACAAAATCAGGACTTTCACAACCTCGCCCCCCATGACTACCCGCTCTCTTACATTTTGTACAGTGAAGGTTGTAATCACATATCTCATCACAAATTCCAGCGGGAAAAATATTGTTCAATAAATCCTTTAGGTCAGTCATTTCTTTCTTACAACATCCGCAGTTTTTA